GGGGGGGAGGCTGCAACTTTGCAACGGGTGGGCTCAAAGACCCTTTTTGATAAAAGGGCTGCAATGAATGCAGCAAACTATCCCAAATAGCACCTAGGCAGATAATCAGAATATAGGCACTTCAATCTGACAGTTCTGGACTCTGGGTGTGCTTTTTCTGCTCTGCTCCTTGAATGTATTGCTCTGCTAATGCTAGGCCGTGCGCAGGTGTCTCTGCTTACCTCCAGATCTCTTCTGCATAGCCGAGAGAGGCTGTGCATATGGTAATTGGGGAAAATATGTAATTCCCTATGCTGTAAAAATAACTGTCCTGCTCTGCAGTGGGGCCATGTGAAGGCTGAATATGTGCAACAGATACAATCCAAATTTTCCAGTGTGCAATGGACTACTTTCTTGAAGAGGGAATTTTACCAAAATTGATGTAGCAAGCCCTAATTTAGTCTGTTGCTGCTCTATTATGGGTAAGCATCTGTCCTAAATTTACTTGAATGGCAGATGAAGCACTAAATATGCTTCATAATGGCTCTGGTTTACGTATGGATGTTTTCAAATGCATGAGCTTCCTGCTATGAACAGATGGTTAGGCTGGCAAATTGTTTCACTCTGGTGTCTACTGGTGAGAGAGCAGCCTGCTATGGGCTACTCTTCCAAGTCTGGGAGCAGGAGCCAAATAACGCTGAATATGTTTTGGCTTCACAGGCCTTGTCCCTCTAACCTCTTGGACTGAGTTCTAGAGCTGCAAAGGCCTCAAACGCTTTTTTTGCCACTTGTGCTGAACAGGGAAGCCTCTCTTCCCTTTTAATCCCCGTTCTCAAGCCCAGGTGCAGGCTGCAATGTTCTCTTTCTGGTGGAAAGTGACATTTGGTTTGTTACGATAAAAGCTAGATGTTCGCTTAGCGGCAGGCTCCCAAGAGAATTGAGAGGAACTGGGACATCTTGGATCTGATACCCTCCTTCATATCTTTCCAGGGATCTGTTCTTCTATACCCTAGTTTATGCTGTAATCCATTTTTGTTTTACCTGAGTGGAATGGGGTTATTTCAGAGCGGTGGTCCCTGACCTTTTTGGACTAGTGAATGCTGACAACCACCACACTTACTGGAAAGCTCCTTCACTTGGTAAAGTGCTGCTGATAGCTTTTCCTGGCTGTGCGTTAAAACAGCCTTTGCAAATGCCAGGTTGTGCATTTGCACTCTGGCTATTGATCCATTATGGTCGGTTAATCAGCCAGTGCCCTGGAGGTTCTCTCTTGTGAAGCAGCTTGTGAATGATTAGGAGACTGTTCAGACAAAGCAAATGAAGCTTATTAGCATAGCGCTAATTTAGCACTTCAGCAGGCAAAACAAAGCATGAGAGTACAAGGTATGGATTTCTTACAGACTTGCCTGCTGGGATCCTGCAAGCTAGTGGCATGACCCCTTGCAAGTCTGTCATCTTGTTCCCTTCATTGTGAAGTTTGGTTGTGGCACCTGGCTTCTGCAGGGAGGGGTAGCTAGGGCAAATAGGTAGCCATTTCATGACAGATGGGCTTCTGAGAGCTATCTTGGCTTCCTCAGCTGATCTGGAAGAGACTTGGAGAGCTATTCTTCAGCAGAAATACCAGGGCTACCCGTTGCCTGGGCCTCCTTTGTCCAGGTGACGCACACAGAAGTCATACAGTCAGTGTGCAGAGGTTGCTGGGCTGAGCGGCCCAGTGGCTGCTGTGCAGGTTGGGATGTAGCCATCTGGGAAGTGATGGCCAACGTCTTGGCATGCCCATCTGCCTGGATTACAACTGTATAAGGTTGTATAAACCAGAAGATATTGTCAGTATGCTTAAAGCTCGGTATAACATGCATTTTCTTTGTGGACACGGCTATGATCTGGTGGCAGTGACGGTAGGAAAAGTCCTCTCATGTGGCCCTGACATCTGGCTGTGGTCGTATGGTGTGATTTGTCAGGGTGACTCTGAAACCTGTTTTGCAGACTTGTGGTGTTTTGGAACATGTTTTTTTACTCTTGAAAGCTTCCACAAATGTTTAGAGGGATGAATATTTGCAGTTTTCAACAGCTTGCTGAAGTCTGCGCTCCAGATTGTGAGTGTTGATACCTGGGGGAGTGCCCAAGTCCTGCTGGTGCATGATTCATACCGGCTTGAGAAACATGTTCACTTGGTGAGGGGTGATTGTAAACTTAAGCAAATGGGATCTGGGCACTTGCTGGAACAAGGTGACCTTTCTGATTTGTTGCAGTGCCCGTGGTTTATCTGAAGGGCAGGGATAACCAGATAAGCTTAATACTGGAAAACAGCTCTGCGCACCTTCCGTTCTCTGGTGCTCGGGGAAGTTTGGCTGGTTTAACATGAAGCTAACAGACCGTCCCCAGATGCTGCAGTGACCTGAATTCATTGAGACTGCTACGTTAAAGAGGAAATGAAGTCTGTAGGGTGGAAGGATGTTGACTTGGCTGTGGGAGGAGAGTGAATTTCCAAGCTAGAGTGAGTGGTTAAGCCTGCATCCTGTTCTCTTGCAGGGCCTGGCTGTTGGAGGGTCACAAGAGTCCTAAGAGGGGAGGGAGGTGCCACTGCTTTTCCAAATCAGGAAGAGGCCTTTCTAAGGTGTCTTGCAGCAGTCCGCTGCATGCTATCAGCAAGGGCTTCTCTCAGAGTCTCTGCTAGGGCTGCTCTAAAATGAATGCAGACCCTCAGATAAGGTGTTGGCGGAACAGAACAGGCTGAAGTAGTAGAGAACAAGAAGCGGCTCTCACTTGGTCCTATAGTCTTTGAGCTTTGCCTAAGATTTTGTGGGAGCACAGCTATGTGGTCCTTGAATTCGATTCCAGCATGTAGATTTGAGGCACAAATTCCCAAATCGATAGTCTGCTTTGCTTTTTTTGTAGCAGGGGGCAGAAGCTTGTTTTGGGTAGAGTAACTTCTCTTGCAGGAGAACCTAAAGGAGATCTGAAGGTGGCTTGGAGGCCTGGAGTCCTTCACAGTGAAGGACTTCATAGCAGTAGCGTTCAAACTCTGGTGTGCTCACCCTTACATCCAGGTTTTGTAGTGTCTGGCAAACGTCTTCACAGTGAAATGAACCAGTATTTATTGCCAAAGGCTGTGCCACTGAATTCAGCTGATAGAGCAGAAAGACTGAAGGAACTGTCCCCTTGGAACTGTCTGCAGCTGATCTGAATGGCCCAGTATGCTGGTTACCAGGAGAAACAGACCTCAGTCTCTCCCAGTGCCAGTTATCCCAGTGATCTGATTTAATTCTTCTCTCTGTTCACGCTGGAGCTAGGGCAGCATCTTGCTGAGGTGCCATGGGGGGTGGAAGGGAAGAGAGAAGAACGTGCATCCTTTGGAGGGATGTCTGTGCATTGCTCCTGTGATGTGCGTCTGCCTAATTTTCTCAGGTGGGATGCAGGATTACAACTACGTGTGGGCCGACTGCTTTGAGATCACCTTGGAGCTGTCCTGCTGCAAATACCCGCCAACCTCCCAGCTTCAACAAGAGTGGGAGAACAACCAGGACTCTCTCCTCGCCTTCATTGAGAAGGTAGTGTGGGCTGGAACGGGGCACACGGGCAGCAGCTGTGAAACCTGCATGTCCATGGTGGGCTGAGAGCACGGTGTTCAGTTGCTCCTGTGGCCGAGTTTGCTGCATGTGGTAATGCAACTGCTGCAGTTGCTGTGCAGAGGTTGGTGTCTACAAAGCTGCTGTGTATCCCTCTGGTTCTGCCACAGTTCCCACATCCTCCAGGATAGCAGAGCTCTTCTGAGAGGGCCCATTGGGAGGGTGCAGTGTTGCACAGAGGCCCTGAGAAGTGCAGAGCTCGCTAAGAAATTCAGAGTACCTTTATGGCCTAAGTGCAGTTATTCTCCAGCAGGGTTCAAAAGCACCAAGCAACACTGCTGAAATCTTGGCTTGCAGATTGCTGTTGCCAGGCTATCTGCAGATACCCATATGTATGTTGAGTGGGTGGCAGTTTAGGCTGGGAAGAGAAGCAGTTGCGTTTTTCTCCTCGCTGCGGCATGCAACTCTTGTGTGTTCATACTGTTATGTGGTCACTGCAGTGTCTCTACCGTGCTCTCCCTCGCTCAGTAGCACAGGTGAGCCAGCTTGTGAGCCCATGTCAACAAATGAGAGAGCTGCTGGGGAGGATCAATTCTGAGAACTCGCTGGCTTCCCAGTGCACGCTCAAGTTCCTGTCTTTGCAGTCTGGCCAAGCACCGTCTGAATCACGGGCCCTTGTTTGCCTTGGCCTGGCAGCTGTCCTGCTCTGCTGTGTTTTGGCACGTGGTGGGGGGTGCTGGGCAAGGACACGGTCCTGTGATATTACTTCAGCCAGGCCCTTGCGTTGTTTTCCTCAGGTCCACATTGGTGTGAAAGGCTTTGTCAGGGATGTAGTCACCGGATCTGGCTTGGAGAACGCGACTATCGTTGTTGCTGGTATTGCTCATAACATCACAGCAGGCAAATATGGCGACTATCACCGACTGCTGGTGCCCGGGACCTACAATGTGACTGCCGTTGTAATGGGGTAATGTCTCTGTGACAGCCTGGGTCCACACTGATGACTGCTTGCGTTATTTTACTTGATTTCTTCCCCCAAGGCATCTTGTTCTGTATTTAAGGGGTAGGGCTGGAAGCTGCAGCAGTAAGAGACTCCTGTAGTGGCTTAAAGCTGTAGCCATGTGGTCTGTGCTGTGTGCCACTGTGGCATGGGGGTGCTGGGTGAACAGCATTTGTCACCTTAATTAGATTGCTTGTGCCAACCTGCATCTTGCTTTCCTGGCAAAAGGAGAAAGGGAAGTAGTATCCCCCCAGTAAGATATTGTGTTGTCTCCTGTCAGGGTATAAATGCAATAACTTGCTGCTATGCTAGCCCTGCGCTACTCCCTGAAGAGTCCGTAAGCAGGAGCTTGTGCCTCTGACACGGCAAGGACATCAGCATAGTTGGGTCCCATGGAGTGGGATGAATCCTGACAGCTTGTTTGCTGACGGATATTCCGTGTGGGTGTTAGCATCCCAGCTAACCCAGGCTGGGAGGAGAAGCATGAGCATGAGGAGGAGGCCAGAGTGGTGGAGAGGCTGCAGGGACCTCTGGCCCTCTATTCTGCAGAGCCTTCTGCTGAAACCAGCTCTTTTCTCACAGTTACGCACCAGTGACCATGGAGAACATTGAGGTGAAGGAGGGAGATGCAACAAAAGTGGATTTCTCCTTGCAACCAACTGTAATGGCACCAGCTCCTAATCTCACACAGTTCACAGCAACACCTGCTCCTGTCTCTACCATCACCTCTGCTAATGTGCAGGCAGAGTCCCCAAACCCAACCTCTCTCCATCAGCCAGTCCAGCCTGTGGACTTCCGCCACCATCACTTCCCAGACATGGAGATCTTTCTACGGCGATATGCTAACGAGTACCCCAACGTAACCCGCCTCTACTCTGTGGGCAAGTCAGTGGAGCTTCGGGAGCTCTATGTAATGGAGATATCGGACAACCCTGGCATCCATGAAGCAGGTAACGTGGGAAATCCTTTTTTGGGAGGCCCAAATGCGAGAGACGAGACCTTTGCTTTGGGAGACTGAGGAGGCAGAGCAAAATGGGGTGGAGATCTGGCACCTGTCTGAAGAGATACTGTGTGCTGCTCTCTTTTTGAAAGACTCAGATGCAGCAGTGGTACTCATGTGGATTTCAAAAGTATTGCTAGGGACACCCAGGTTTGGGTTTGGGGAATGGAAGAACCATTGCGGCAGTGCCCATCCTTTTTTTGATGTTGTGGGAGTGAAGGGTCCCTGCCCACAGGGAACAGACCAAGTGGGGCTTGGCAGCATGCTGGTGTCATTCCTCACCACTAAGAGATCAGACTTTGCTGGTCACTGGAATGCCCTGTTTAGAGTCTGTGGGGCTGCACATGCCATAGTGCCTGGGATGCACCCATTCTGTGGAGCTCAGTTCTCACCTCTGCCCAAATGACTGTTCTTCCCTTAAGAGAGGGAAGAACATTCGCTCACTAGTGATGTGGCACAGCTGCCTCTGTCATGCCCCAAAACTTTCAAGGGTGTATTCTGTTCCCGTGTTAGGTAGGTGTCCTCCAGCCCTGCAGAAAGGCCTGATACTGCAAGGCTAGGGTAGTGAGATGTCTCTAAGCTTTAATATAGTAGTTACAATTGGCTCTTTGGTGTGACCCTGTCTGCAGGTGAGCCAGAGTTCAAGTACATCGGTAACATGCATGGGAATGAAGTTGTGGGGCGAGAGCTGCTCCTGAACCTCATTGAGTACCTCTGCAAGAACTTTGGCACAGATCCTGAAGTGACTGACTTGGTCCGGAGCACACGCATCCACATCATGCCATCTATGAATCCTGATGGCTATGAGAAATCCCAGGAAGGTATGTTACCTGCTGTGAAACACCTGTGGGGTTTCTAGTACTGAGAACAGGACTTTGTGTTCATGGCAGCTCTTGGATTTCCGGGATGAGTGGGCAGACCCCGCGTTGCAGGAAGTAGGCGGTCAAGTGATGCTTAAAGCAGTTGCAGATGCTTTAGCCACGCTATATGCTTGCCCCTCTTTGGGTCCCCTTATGGTCTGTGGCTTTCCCAAGGCTTATTTAAAAAAAAAAAAAAAAAAAGGCATTCCTTTGACATAGCTCATACTTGCTCTGCTTTGGTCCACGTTCTTCGCAACATGTGTTGTGGGAGCCAGGCTGTCTGCAGAGCCCTCGTCCAAGGATAATACTGACTTTTAGCGTGATGTTGATATTGGCAAAAAAGTCCTTCAGGGAAGTCCTTAAAACTGCATGGCTATTGCAGATTGGCAGAACAAAACCTGCTCAGAACAATCTTCTGGAAGTAGAGCTCTGCTTGAGTTTAACAAAGAACTTGTCCGGCTGGTTTGAGAAGGTGAACTCTGAGGTTTTTGTGGTTGTGACACCTGGCTGCTTGGATTGTTCCAAGGTTAACTGCCTTTCTGCTAGCAGTGGCTTGGCTGACACTTAGAGCCTGCCTGAGCACTTACTGAAAGGGTCTCCAGAGACCTCCATGCACAGAGCAGGCCTCCCGCTAAAGGAGAGCAGGGTTGTCCCACGGCTCTGGGGTTTACAAAGCCAACTTATTATGCTCTCTGCGATTTTCCATTTACCCAAGGTCTCTGGGTGTTCTGTGTGAGAGGACGGCCTCCACAGTGAAGTGTGAACTTGCATAGGGCACTAGCTTAAACATGTGCTTAACTTTCAGGAGACAGAGGAGGCACCATTGGCAGAAACAACAGCAACAACTATGACCTGAACCGGAACTTTCCAGATCAGTTCTTCCAGGTGACAGACCCTCCTCAGCCAGAAACTCTTGCTGTCATGAGTTGGTTAAAGACTTACCCGTTTGTACTGTCAGCAAACCTGCATGGAGGTATGCCAGTCAAACCAGGCTCCTTCCACTGGGCTGAGGTTTGAGGGATGGGATTTGCAGGGCTGTCTCCACTCTGCTGCTGGGAATGAGCTGAGGAGCTCTGGCAGGGGGCTCTCTGTGCTTGACACTGCTGTGAAAAGGCAGGAGCCAATCCAGCCAGGTTCCTGCCCCAGGAAGTGTCAAATAAACCTGTTGTCAGTGGGTTGGGGTTTGTGCTGCTGAAAGAAAGATCAGAAGGTGCAAACCTGGAGGGTGAAAACCATGTCCCCAAACATACTTTGTAGGCTGTTGAAGAGGCTGCTGGGACGATCTCAGCCCCTTCTCTGAAGGGGTTGTGTGCTTTGGGGGGTAGCTGGCGCCTTGCCTGTTGAGAGATGGGGCGGTTGGTGTGGATGCTCTTGTCAGCTGTTGCTCAGCAGCTGGTTCTGTGTATGTGACAGTGCTGCGACTGTTGGCTTCATAATATTTATAAAGTAAAGGGAACTTTACTTTATAAGGGAGATGTAATCCTGAGGGTTCCCTGCCTTGAATTGCCTGGCAGAACTAAGAAACTTGCTGTAATTTAATTGTCTTTTTAGAGTGATCTAAATTAAGTCTCTATATTGCAGCTTATTCCCTAGACAGTTTGCTTGCTGGCTTGTAGCCGTAGTAACTTGCAGGTGGTTGCTTTGTACCAGCATGTTAAATTTTGTAGCACAGAAATACGTTGCATGGGTAAGAGGGGGCTGGCGGTTCTGCAATAGCAGAGAGGCCCCACAGTACTACTAGTACAACTTGCTGAGGGGAAACCTGAATAAGCCAAAGATGTTATAACCTACCAGTGTTTACAATAAACTCTAGAGGGCTGAAAAGATACAGCAGTTGGGTCAAGGGCTCCATGCATGTTCTGGGAAATTCCTTCCCTTGCTTTTTCTCCTCCGTGAAAGTGATAATTATGAGCTTGTCCTCATCTCCTGCATGTAAAAGCCAAACTTTTGATGTCTTGTGACTTGGGTTCACTTTCCCAACTGAGTGCGGTCTTATCTCTTCCCGTGCTTTCGTTGTCTCTTCTATCCATTGGGCTTAGTGTTATATTTAATGCCAAGTCTTAAGAAACACAAGACCTAGTTCCTGGCACTCTGGGGGGGGGGAGGAAATTCCCCTATTAGGGATTTGTAAAGTGTGTGGGTATGAGTCAGATCTTGTTCCCCCTGCAGGTTCTCTGGTGGTTAATTACCCCTTTGATGATGATGAGCAAGGAATAGCCATATACAGTAAATCCCCAGATGATGCTGTGTTTCAGCAGCTGGCACTGTCCTACTCCAAGGTAAAACTCTAACAAGCACATCCTGTTGGGTTAACTCCTGATTCTGTCATAACCCTCCTGAGCAGGTACTGTTCCCACATGGCTCCTCAGTGTTGCAGGCTCCTTGGGTTACAGCAGAAGGATCCTGCAGGAGGCTCTTGTTCCGTGAGCGGATGCCAGCATGGTCTGTTTGCAGGCATTGTGGGAGAGTGCTCTGTGCAGGTGCAGGGGCTGTAGCAGTGGGTTATTGTCACGCATGCACTGAAGAGTGGTAGAAAACACTGTGCATGGGCCAGGAGGAAAGCAAACACGTCGGTGACTTGTGTTTGGGTGTGGGTGCAGTCTGCTTGTGCTGCAGCTGTGCAAATGCAGGCCTGCGTGAACCTCTTTAGTAGCCCCCAGTGTGTGACTAACGTTAGAACAAAAGTGCCAGTGGCGGTAGGCTGCAGGCACTCAGCTTCACATGTTGCATCTTGTTTTTCAGGAAAATACGCAGATGTATCAGGGAAGCCCTTGTAAGGACATGTACCCCACTGAGTACTTCCCACATGGCATCACTAATGGGGCTCAGTGGTACAACGTTCCAGGTAAAGTGGACGTGGAGTACATATGTCTGCAGGTTTAATAGTGCTCGAACTTAAGTTTCTCAGACTGTTTGTCTCCAAGCTAAAGCATGTGCAGCTTAAAGCTTAGTCTGATCAATCCCAAAATCTGCATTGGTCAGCCCAGATTACTGGAACTTGGGTTTCTTTTATAGCATCTTAAATGATGTACCCAGATTAAGTTATTCCTGCGGGAAAGAATTTATACTCTAGTTTGTTTTCTGGCTACCAGCAAAGTAGTTTCATAAAACTTTACAGCAGTATATTAGCATGAAAGGCATTTACAAGAAGGATGGTTATTTGTCTGCTATTTTGTCATCTCTTCGAGGCTTGAATCTTGCCTTGTGTAAGAGTCTTCTCTCCATGGCTATAAAATATGTGCTGTAGTTAGTAGAGAAAGACAGAATACTATCTGATTTCTGTTGAGCTACACTACTGTTACCTTCCGGAGACCTTGTCAAAACTACATTTCTACATTCCTGTTGTAGGTGGGATGCAAGACTGGAATTACTTAAATACGAACTGCTTTGAAGTGACCATTGAGTTGGGCTGTGTGAAATATCCAAAAGCAGAGGAGCTGCCGAAGTACTGGGAGCAGAACCGCAGGTCTCTTCTCCAGTTCATGAAACAGGTGAGACGCTTTGACCCCAAGCAATTGTGTGAGCTGCCCCTTGGGATCTGTATTAGACACGCCAGAATGAACAGGCTAAACTGCAGGCTGGAATGAGCGCTGCTTCCTGGCCAGATTGGGGACCTGCTGAACAGAAATCAGAACGTATCTCGACTCCCCCTCTCCCCTCCTCCTCAACATATCAAAAATACGTATGGAAACAGCAACCAGGAAATGCAGGTGCAGGCTTTTTATTTACAGATATCGTGGCTTTTCTGAGACTGGAATGGCCTTTCTGTGCTGTTCCCTGGGGACCTGAGAGGGGCCTGGCAGTAGCGCTGTGCAGCTGGGGTATGCAAACAAAGGTGTGGAGCAGAGTGCTGTGGTGGCACTGCGAGGCAAACAATTGCTCCTTGTGCTCATCAAGTGACCTCTGTCCATGCTAGCTGCTAGCAGGTTTAACCTGAACTCTTTTGGAACGTGTTGCTCCACCAGGAACGCTGCACCTTGCGGGCTGGGAGCTGGCGGTGTCTCGGTATCAGCACTCCCGCAGTGGTGTGTGCAGTGGGAGGCAGGGTGGGCCATGCCACTCCTGGACGGGCTGACACTGAGCAGTGCTCCGGGTCTGTGCTCAGGTTCACCGCGGTATCTGGGGATTTGTGCTGGACGCCACGGATGGAAGGGGCATTCTCAACGCCACCATCAGCGTTGCTGACATCAACCACCCGGTCACCACCTATAAGGATGGAGACTATTGGCGCCTCTTGGTCCAGGGGACGTATAAAATCACAGCATCTGCTCGAGGGTGAGAGAACTGCGGCACAAGGCGCAAACAGTTGCAGTGTTGAACCTTCCCAGTTAGGAATAGGCCCGTTCCCTCTGTCTAGAGTAAACGTAGCGTGGGTGTTTCCCCTGCCTTCTGGCCTATGCGGAATTAGCAAAGTGATGCTACCCTGATATCAAAGGCTGCTTGTCTGGTGACAGTGTAGAATCCAAATCTTCCTATGTTTGGAGAATGCTGTGGGTCTTTCTGTGGGGAAGGAGTTCTTTCTTTAGGGGAAGTCCTCTTGCAGGCAGCTACACACAGAAATGAGTCAACTTCTATAGCTGCCAGGACCTTGTTCCCCTTTGGGTTAAAGCTGCCTGACTTGTTCCCCTGCCTGTCTGCTGTATAACCCTGCAAAGCTTGAGCCAAAAGCAGCCCGGCACCATGCTGAGCCCTGAGCTGCTTCCTGTCCTCCAGCCATTTCGATGTCCCTTTGGAGTGTCCTTGTTGTTTGCTTTTATGCTTCTCATTCTTTTGGCTGGGGAGCAGTAGCAGTCCCATATGGGTGTTTAGCTGGGAAGCAGGATGGCTTGGTGTGTGAGGCCTTGAACCCCTGACGTTTCCTTCTGCCTTTTCTTCCCTGGACAGGTACGATCCAGTCACTAAGATGGTGGAGGTTGACAGCAAAGGTGGCGTGCAGGTCAACTTCACTCTTTCACGGACAGACTCCAAAGTGGAGCAGGGGAAGGTGCCAGTCCTGAACACCCCAGACACCAGCGACCCCCACGAGAAGGAGTTTGAGACCCTGATCAAAGATCTCTCTGCTGAGAATGGCCTGGAGCACCTCCTGCTTTCCTCGTCAGGGGACGTCTCTCCTTATCGATACCGCCCTTACAAGGACCTCTCCGAGTTCCTCCGAGGCCTCAATCTGAACTACCCTCACATCACAAATCTCACGAGGTGAGAACTCAAAGCAGCGGTGCTCAACTCCTCCCTGAGTAGCAGCCTGTAGCAGAGCAGCAGTGAAATGACATGAGCCAAGATCACAGTGCAGAGATGGGGAGCTTATCCCCTTTCTCTGCTGTGGTGCTTGAGTTCAAGAGAGCCCTAAGTGTAATGGCATGATGTCAGAGCCTTGGCTGCAGAGGCTCAAGGATGCATCTGTGTGCGCTTCCCTGAGATGTCATTTCACTGCCTTAAACCTGGGGCACTGTCAGGGGTGCTGGGAACTGGTGAGATTCCCAACAGTGATGTCCCAAATTTTTTTTCAAATATCTGAATGCATACTCTCTATCTCAGTTTCCTCTCTTTTCCAAGTCCTTTCTGATATCTACGCTGCTAATCAGGCCCCAGCAGAAGCGATTAAGTTTGGATTACAAATATCAAATGGCCTTTTTTTTTTTTTTTTAAATATACATTCAGACTTTAATTTCATAGTGTTTGAGTAACTTGTCTTGAGTCAAGGTCTCTGCCCTGCTGCAGAAGACCAGCTGTCTATAGTCCTCTGCTCTCCTTTGTGACCTGTAGCACTGTTGTGCGCTCTCAGCTTCGGAAGGCACAAATCTGGACCCTGTGTCCCAGGACCTTGTTTGCTTGTTGTTACCAGGCACAGCGTGCCTGCTGATGGCAAGGCTGTCCCGTTTGCTGTCCCTGCTGATGGCAAGGCTGCTGTTCTGATCTGTAGCCTCTATTGTCTTTCCAGTGGCATCAGCCCTGAGGCTGTTCCCTGCTTTGCTTGCATTCAATTTGCTGACTTAATGGCACTACTGTAGTAACAACCTCTGCATTACTGGAAATAGGCCTGCTTTTGTCCTCTGAACTGGATGCTTTTGTAAGTTTGTTTGATGTCTGGATATATCCCACCCTGAAGAAAAAAAGAATTTGAAGCACAGAGGCATTTAGCAGTTCCAGATATACAGTAACATTATAGACTATACAGAGATGTAGAGAGCATTGTGTGTCCTCTACATCTGGGCCTGAATACATTCGCATGCAGGTGCGTGTGTTCAAACTGACATTCGTAATGAATGTGGCTCAGTGCTGCTGCTAGTCTTCATTCATAATGCAGTTGATTTCTGTGTGTCACTTGCCTTTGCTGTCTCCTCACAGAGGTGGGCAGTAGTCCTTTTCTGCAACAGGATTTCTCCCTAAGGGCCAGGCTAGGGGTTCAGCTCTGTTCCTGAGCTAATGCTCCTTTTTCTCATCTCTTGGCAGTTTGGGTCAGAGTGTTGAGTTCCGTCAGCTCTGGTCCCTCGAAATCTCCAACAAGCCCAACCAGTCTGAGCCCGAGGAACCAAAGATCCGCTTTGTTGCTGGTATTCACGGAAATGCTCCTGTTGGTACAGAGTTGCTCCTGGCACTGGCAGAATTTCTCTGCATGAACTACAAGAAGAATGCTGCTGTTACAAAGGTGAGGAGCTGGTGCCGGGGGCCCTATGGGAACCCTACAGCTACATCCTGAGAAGAGGATGCCTACTGGGAGAGATCTGCCTTGTTAACCCTGGTCGTGGGTCGCAGTGATCCCATGAACAACAGGGAGGTGTTGTGAAATCCATGGGAGCTGGTGGGAACCCCCCTCAACAGCTCTGTGCCCTGACTGCCAGAAGGGCGTCCCTGCTGGTGGGCAGTATTTGTCTGTTCCTCCCTTGCTGACTGAGGAACGCTCTTGCTGAAGACAGCACCCAAGACTGGTGAAATCAGTGTAAGCAGCAGTTCCTAGGATGAGATCGAGGCAAATAAGATGTACAGAGAATTAATCCCACTAATTGTGTTTTTATGTACTGTTTGTTCTCCTTTTGCCCAGCTAATTGACCGAACACGGATTGTGATTGTGCCTTCCCTGAATCCAGATGGACGTGAGATAGCACAGGAAAGAGACTGCACATCAAAGATAGGCCAGACCAACGCTCATGGCAGAGATCTGGACACAGACTTCATAAGTAAAGTGAACAGATGCGTAGCATCCCTGTAGAAATGTTGGCTGCTGCAGAAGTCTTCTGCTGTATCTGTTGTGGGCATAGGCATAGTCATTTGGTTGCAGGGTGTAGCTATAAGGAAAGCAGCGTTCCTGCCATAGAGCCCAGGCAGTGCAACTGCTAGAAAGCTTCCAAAGCTTGCATCCGCCTTAGAGGTGGTAACTTGCTGTTTCTTGTTTGCAGAAGAGAAGAGGAAGCTGAGTTCTTTAGGGATAGTCCAGAGATCAGGCAACATGTAATGTTTTTCCTGTTAATTGATTTCTCCCAACCCCCAATTTCTGAAAAATGCCCTCTATTCCTGCTCCCTGGAGCAGTCTCCTTTTTCATGCCTTTCTGGTTCCTGCATGATTGCCTTGCCTATCCAGAGCTCTATATCGGAGTGCCATGCCCTCCCTTCCTGGGGAGGAGGTGTTCTCTCTGACTGGATTTGGCTGGGATCATCCCAAATGCTTTCTTTGGAAATGCCTCATTGCCTCATTTTAGTGACACTGAGGAGGGCAAACGCACGAGGCACCCTCTGCATTGTCACAGTAAATAGCTTGGGGAAATAGTGATGTTGTCAGGTTTACTTAGCCTTGCAGAGGAACGCTGCCACTGGGTAGTGTGGACTAGGCATTTTACCTGACTTGTTAGATTCAGTTGCCTGAGATCTAACAAAAACCTTTTCATACATGCAGCAGACTTAATATCAGGCATTAAAGAGCGTACTTTTACTAGCTTCTCAAATAGCAGAAGAAGCTGTTGTCAATTCCCTTTTCTATTTCTTGTTCTGGTTTACAGGCAATTACTCTCGATACTCAGGGACACGGGAGCCTGAGACCAAAGCCATCATAGAGAACTTGATATCGAAGCAGGATTTCAGCCTGTCTGTTGCGCTAGATGGTGGATCTCTGCTTGTCACTTACCCGTATGATAAGCCAGTGCAGACAGGTACGATTAACTCCTCCAAGGCTTTGCATGCACATTATACTCTGTAACCTCCTTTGTGTAACCTGCCCTTTGTATCTGGACAGTGGATGACAGTCTGTTCCAGCGGGACTTCAGGTTTCCCCACTACTGAAGGGATTTATCAAAAGCTGACTATATACTGGCTTTGGCAGGGGGAAAGTTGAAATGCAGTAGAAATGGAAATGCAAAATGCTCTGTTTCCTGTCTGTATTCTGTGAGGTTTGTCAGCTTTGTTTAATAATGTGCGACTTTAATATAGGATCGTGGGGGTAGAATGAGAATCTGCTCTCCGGTTGTGCTCTCAATGTCACACCCTTCTCTTTATAGTGGAAAACAAAGAAACACTGAAGCATTTGGCATCTCTGTATGCAAACAATCACCCGTTGATGCATTTAGGCCAGCCGGGCTGTCCAAATAAGTCAGGTATGTTTGGTGCAATCCTTTAACTGCTGGCCAGCTTGTGATGGACTCTGCCAGGAGCAGATCTGTCTGATGACTGTGTTCTTGTTGTCACAGATGAGAATATTCCTGGGGGTGTGATCCGTGGCGCTGAATGGCACAGTCACCAGGGAAGTATGAAGGTACTTCATCACAGCACAAGGCTTTCCACCTCTGCAGACTTAGCTTTAAATGAGCACTAAAACACATTTGTTCTGATATCTGGGCAAAACTGCCCCCTCCTCCTGTTGTATCTTTGCAAAGCTCAGTAGATACTACCTCTTGTGTCATAACTGTGTTTGTTTTTTGCAGGATTTCAGTGTTATGTTTGGTCATTGCCCTGAGATCACTGTTTATACGAGCTGCTGTTATTTTCCAAGCGCAGGACAGCTCCCCAGCCTGTGGGCAGACCACAGGAAGTCCCTCCTTAGCATGCTTGTGGAGGTGAGCAGCAGCCTGTGGGAAGAAGTTCTGGCAAGGAGTGCAAGTAGTGGGCTGGGTGGGTAGGTAGGAGGAGGGAAAGGGAACAGTATAGGGATCCTGTGTGTTTTTATTGGTGCTTTGTAGTTACAGATGGTCATAATTTAGACCGCATGAAGCGTGGATTGAACAGAGGCACCAAGTGACCAGGAAGTGTATTGATATGGGAATTTAACTTTCATGCAGTTTTGCCCCAGCGAGGGCTAAGCAGTCCTTGGCGGTGCTGTACGCTCTTATTTCTTACAGGAGGTCAGGAATGGAGGATGGGCTGTATTTTGAGGGGTGAGGGTTAGATCTTGTTTTACTTACAAATGTGCCAGACTATTTGATCCGAACATGAAATGTTTGAACTGCTTTATTTCAGGTGCATAAAGGAGTCCATGGATTTGTCCAAGACAAGAGTGGCAAGCCAATTTCTAAAGCCACTATTGTTTTTAATGAAGGTTTGAAGGTCTATACTAAAGAAGGTGGCTATTTCCATGTGCTGTTGGCTCCAGGCTTGCACAGCATCAATGCTATGGCCGACGGGTACCAGCAGAAGCATGTCAAGGTATGTGAATGTCTGTCAGAGATTTCCTTCCCCTTGTCATGCAGAGGCATCCCTAGATGCTCACACTTGGGCTCTGCCTTGTTGGCTGTATTTAGCCGCTGGCTGTGTGCCCAGAGTAGCTGCCTTATGCCTTAACATAAGGGATGGAGGAGAATTTCCCAGCACAGCGGGGCAGTTCCGAGCAATAGCTTTTTCTCTGCATTGTACTTGTTTTTGACATGTGCCTGGTCCTGCTCTGGTTACCAAATGCCTCTTTTCTCTGGACGCTTGACAGAGGTGCAAACCTTGAGATAGTCTGAGCTCTCACACGTGTCTTTGCAGGTCTTGGTACGCCACGACGCACCTAGCTCTGTGTTCATTGTGTTTGACACTGATAACAAGATATTTGGCCTGCGAAGGGAGCTGGTTGTAACTGTGGCAGGTAGTGTGAGATTTCCTTCATCAGATCTTTGAGCCTTGCTTCCTATGCCCATTCATCCTGACAGTGACTCTTGTCTTGGAACTGGAAAAGTAGCCAGCAGACTTGAACGACCTCCTGCTTTTCCTTCTGAATTTATGCTTGTCCTTGCAAACGGGTCCAATAGTCCTTAGATGTGGCGGTGCTGGGCTGGCAGATGGGAAGGAGGAAATGGATACGACCGCAGGGATCTAAATGGACCAAAGTGGACTTTGAGGTGGTTTGAATGGGGAGAGCCTGTTTGTGCGTGGAGCTGGGAGCTGGGGATCTCACACTTTGCCCAAGGTTTCCCTCAGAGTGGTGTGGCACTGGGTGAATATAAAGAGATTTTCGGTCAAGGTGGCAGTTGCTGGGGTGACCAGAGTTTATTCCCAGTGGTCTGCAGAGGAGCTCAGTGATGCTATGCGAGGACATGAGCCCGGAAGGTAAAGCTAGTGCAGGCCTGCTCTGGAAGCACCTCTCACGTGGCATGTGTCCTGTCAGCTAGGAGGAAGGAGCAGGGTCACAGTGAAGTGAAGAAAAGTGGCTGTGATTGTGGAAAGGAAGAGATACAGCGGGAAAGACAGGAGCTTCCATGGTGGAGGAACATGGTGTTAACTTCAATGTCTTGTGTGTGGCAGGTGCCAGTATGTCTGCTCTGGTTCTCACCGCCTGTATCATCTGGTGCGTCTGCTCAATTAAGTCCAACAGACATAAGGATGGCTTCCACCGTCTCCGCCAGCACCATGATGATTATGAGGATGAAATCCGCATGATGTCCACTGGCTCGAAGAAGTCTCTCCTGAGCCATGAATTCCAGGATGAAACAGACACTGAAGAAGAAACATTATATTCCAGCAAGCACTGACACCTCCCAGACAGAAAAGGAGGTTCCCCATGGACCAGCCCCAGTGGGAAGGGGGCGATTCCTGTGGTTCGGTTTTGGAACATCAGCTTGCAGGACATGTCCTCCAGAGGTGTGGGTGGCAGCTCCCAACGTCCCTCTATTTGCCATGTTCCTACTGACATGCAAGTCAGGGAGTGTTGGAGGCTATGTTGAGGCTAAGGACATGGCTTGTTACACTTTTAGGTCAAGATCTGGAGGTACATGTATCACCGTTTGAAAGGTAACGTAATAGGATGGCCAGCAGAGTTCCTAGCACTTCCCCAGCATCTCAGCGCAGTGATCAGATGGTGGGGAAGTGCCCCGAGACCTGCCTAGGGTCACAGCTACACAACTCCAAAGCAGTTTCTCTACCTGTTTTGAATTCTCTTTTTCACTCTACCTGAGGAAGCCTCATCCTACATGGACTCCCAGTTCGGCAGAGCAGCCCTAGGAAGCAGACTGCACTTAGTTCTCAGCTGCTCCCTCAGAGCTTTTTTCCACCTTCAGATGCAGTGGCCTACTGTGCTCTGCAGTGGGTGCTGAGCACCTCTAATGTGTTGCTAGTTCTCATGCTGTGACCCAGCGTCCTGAAAGCTGGGGGAAATGGCGTCATTTCTCATTGTGAGCTGGAGAAAGAAGCATGTCAGAGCTTCAGTGAACTCTGACAAAGGCCAGGCACTTACCAGCTCTGCAGTGTTGCTGTTCCTTACTTCTGAGGAAGAAAGAAACTCTGTCCCCCTCACTTCGGGTTGGTTCTCGTTTGTGTAGACCTGGCCTTTGTGGTCTCATGTTAGCGTTATAACAGCACGGTGTCCAAAAGAGTAACTGGAGATTGTTCCAAGCAGCTGGATAGAACTGATTATGGTGGATGCTGTAGAAAGCACCTGCTAATGACTCCCCCAGATATGTTTTGCTCAAGTCTACCACGATTCAACGATTCATGGAGAAACTCACTGACATCCAGCTACTGCTTATTGAATGTTATTGAAGTAGCTGAGAGGGGTTGTGGAGCCTCCGTGGCCCAAGTAGGTCTTAAATTTTGAAGAAAAGCTGCACCTTTTGCCCCATCCACCTAATACTGTTCAGTGTTCAGGGCACTTTGAAAACACCCTCTGGTCAAGCCCTGGTGGTGGTAGCTCTACTGAAAGAACACAGCAAGAGCTCCACCTGCTTGTGTCTCTGCAGCATGTCTGCTGCTGCGAGGCCTGGGGGAAGGAAGGGTGTACTGAAGAAGAGGAGGGAAAAGCAGCACTTGGCAGGCATTTTGAAAGAGAAGCTGCAGCGTGCGTCCCCAGAATGCATTACTAACACATCCAATGTACGGGGAGTCCAGGAAGCATTTGATTTCCAAAACCTTTACCTTTATGTATGGAGCTCCTGTGCTTTCTGCCCAGAAAGCACAGCATTGGAGCACAGGCACTTTTTTTTTCCCCCCCTTGCTGCTCATTCTCTTTTTTAATACTTGCCCCACTGACCCAAGCTCCCTCGTGCAAGAGCCTGGTGCACCACAGTTGTGGGCACCCCCTTTGTCTGTTCTCTACCAGCCCAGTGAGGTCCTGCTGGGCTGCATCTCCTGGAGAAGGAGCCGTTCCTCGGTTCTGCAGGTGGCAGATGCACCTCCCAGTCGTGCTGATCGTTCCATCAGCTGCATGCCGATTTTGTGCAGCTCTGTAGAGGGACAGAGACAGCCCTTAGACGCCAGTATAACCTTTTCCCTGTTCCATGGAGAATTATAGTGAAAGGAGCGCATGATGAGAGCTGGTGGGAGCAGTCAGCTGGGAATGGAGAGATGAGGCCAAGCATTCCCTGTGCTCCTACTGTCCCATGTCGCTGCAGTGCACGAGAGCTGTTCTCACTGCCTTGTGGTTCTGCAAGCCCGTGTGCCGGGCCCCAGCCCGCCCTCCTGAACGTGGGCTGTGGTTCGGTCCCATGCTGCGACCCAGTCCTGCGGGTAAAGGGGCCGCAGCAGGCCAGCGCTCAGCAGTGCTAAGCATGCCTCATCTCTGACCTTTTCCTCCTTCTGAGGCCTTTAGCAAGGGGCGCAGCTGAGGTTTTCTAATAAAGCTGGTTTTGCAAACAGCTCTTAGATCTCTGGCCTTTTTGCGCTGGCAGCAGGTAACGAATGGAGCTGGCCTTGCTAAGCCAGCTCTGTCGCACTAGCAATAAGTCTCGTTAGGAATCAGCGGATGCGAGAGCGCTGGATCAGCCGTTTCCCCCCCAAGAATGCATTTCGAAATTAGCTGCAGTAGGTGCATATTTTTTTAAGGTAGGTGGGTTTGAATTATTTTGTAAACGCGCGCAAGGCTGTTGGACACAGCACGGACCGGGTGTTGTCTGGCGCTCGCAGTGAGCAAGTGCTTGGGGCTTTTATCAGCGGTTCCTTGAAGGAGCGAGCGGCTCGCTCAGCCTCCTGCCCCCGTCGCTCTGCCCGTCGTTCGTGGAAGTGTCCGTGCCGCTTCTGCCGAGGAGCCAGTCTCCCCTGCGCGCGCTTGTCGCTGGAGTGTGTAGGTCTATGCACTGTGCCTTCAAATGTAAATTTTTCAAAGGGACTTGAAATGAATCGACGTTTCATTCGAGCAGAAAATCAATCTGTGTGATGTGAGATCTACCTTTCTGTACCGGGGGGAGGGGCCTCTGTTTTTTACCTGTATACTGAGATCTAATAATCTGTATAAAACTATTTTGATGTCTGCCTGGGTTTGTCTCGTACTTCCTATTACCCGAGCTAGGGCAGCGCAGCCGGCCCCTGCGCTGGGCAGGCTTGTCTGTGCCGCCACCCCGGGCTGGAGCCCTCCCCCTTCCCCTCCTGCCCGTTTGCTGCCCGTACAAGAGGGGGTCGGGG